ACATGCCCTTGACCGGAATCGAACCTGGGACCCTTGAGTCCCCAGGCTGACGCCAAACCGGTTAGGGCTAGACTCCATTTTTTAAAAGGTTACTCAAAATAACCATGACCTCACCAGTTTCTCCTTGTCCTTCTGCATGAAGGAAGTAGTGGGTGGAAGGAGAAGGTCCCCTATGACCCTGCTGGGAAAGGAAGTGGCCCGGGTATATTAGGGCAAGCCACATCGGAAACTTAGCTCCTCCTGGCACCATCTCCCCAAAGGGAGGACCCATCCACCGAGCCTCCCCATCAACAGGCCAGGGACTAAAGAAATGGGGCTTTCTGTCTGCCTACCAACCCATCAGAGACCATGTTTCTTTGTTTGCTTTTTGTTTTTTATGCAGCAGCTCTGTATAACATGGGGTGTCAGGAAAAAATCTCATTCCCCCAATCAAAAGTGCCTTCTGTGCACAGAGATTATTAGAGTCACTCAAGTCTCCCTGGAAGATTTTTGGAGCGCTCTCTTTAAAAAGGCCTGGACAGCTGCAGAGACAGCTGGGGAAGGAAGCACCAGCCTTCTGGGTTGGTATGTGTGTACACTGTGGTGGGGGGTCAGAGCTGCCAGTTTCCTGTTTGGCCAACAGGGGCCTTGCTGTTTGTTGTATAAGCTCTTACAGAGGAGAGGGCTACGCTGTGAATCTGGGGGTCCTGTGGGTAAAGGGCCAAGAGTGGAGGCAACCTTAGCCTCTCCCTGTAACCTGGGCTCCACCTCCTGTCACTGGTTACTTGCCTTTTGGGATTTTGCATTTTAGAGTTTAATGACGGGATTGGCTCTTCTTGATAGCTTAAGGCAGTGGTTCTCAACCTTCTGGCCCTTTAAATACAGTTCCTCATGTTGTGACCCAACCATAAAATTATTTTCGTTGCTACTTCATAACTGTAATGTTGCTACTGTTATGAATCATAATGTAAATATCTGATATGCAGGATGGTCTTAGGCGACCCCTGTGAAAGGGTCATTCGACCATCAAAGGGGTCGCGACCCACAGGCTGAGAACCGCTGGCTTAAGGGATCCTATGGGAATTTGTTGAGGAAGTGAATCCCTGCAGGAAACGTGGCTTGTGTAAATCTGGATTTGAATATAATGTTCTCTTAACGCAACCACATTCAAAGATATCATTAGCAATCATTTATATATGCAGTCAAGTAATAAAAAACTTTTACCTACAGGATGCTGGTGCTTGCGTTGACATGCATGATTTGGCCACTGAGTTTGATCCTGAAATTCCTAGCCAACCCCTCACCCTCCAATCCTGGGCAAACACAGTCCCAAGAAAAGACAGAGGGGTTTAAGAAGTGAGCTCTGAAGCCAAAATGCTCTACCCCTTACAGACTGTGACACTAGACAAGTTACATCTCCTTTCTGTACCTCAGTTTCTTTATCTGTAAACAGGGATTGTGGTATCTAGGGGTTTTTATGGAAATCAAGTGTGGTAAGACTGTAAACCACTAGAACAGTGATGGCGAACCTATGACACGCGTGTCAGAGGTGACACGCGAACTCATTTTTTTGGTTGATTTTTCCTTGTTAAATGGCATTTAAATATATAAAATAAATATCAAAAATATAAGTCTTTGTTTTACTATGGTTGCAAATATCAAAAAATTTCTATATGTGACACGGCACCAGAGTTAAGTTAGGGTTTTTCAAAATGCTGACACGCCGAGCTCAAGAGGTTCGCCATCCCTGTGCTAGAATAAAGCCTGACACTTCCTATATAATAAAGAGCTAATATGCTAATTAGACCGGATGGTGGAACGACCTTCCAGAATGACCTTCGGGAATGACCAGTGGGCAGAGGGTGGGCCGGGGAGGCAGCCGGGGCCACAAGGGCTGAGCCGCCTTGCA